CTGGCCTGAGTCAAGGCTACCTTTCTTTCCTCTACAAGTGTAGCTTGCTCAGGAAATCTCAGTTGCTTCTGCCCATGTTTGTTGACTGCAAGAGTTGTTACAGCCATGGGGGATGAAGGTGAGGGACAAAATAGGAGTGACTGTCCAAGTGCTCCAATGTGATCAGGAATCAAATCAAATGAATTCTCAGGGACCTCCTTCCCCTACCCCTTACTGGCAGGAGTCAAAGTGAAAGCAAAGTTATGTTGGCTTGAGGCTAATAAAAAATCTTGCATAGGGACAGTGAGTATTTCATCTTCCAGAAGCAGATACAGCAGAATGTAGGGTAAAGAAAGAGAGCAGATGGACCTATTAACTTCATCCCATGGATGTTCTCTTCAAAGGTATAATTCACCATTGATGCAGCTCCTCCACACTTAGTAACTGTGGGAACATGAGCGTTTATAGTGCTCAGCTGTCATTACCAATGAAACCTCTAGCCTTTTTCTCAGTAGGTTTAGGTTGCACAGTGGTGACCAATGTCTACTGATGTTTTCATCTCCAGCAAAGATGTAGTTGTACCAGTGAAGCAATGAGAAATGTTCCAAAAAGTGCTTAGGTAGGTACAGCTCCCATGAAACTCCTAGAGCTAAGCTTATTATTTAACATGTACAGTACCCTGGCCATAGGAAGGACCTTGTCTTGTGCCTCTTACATGCTTTCTGCACTGACAGGAAAGCTGGAATTTGAAAATCTGTGTCAAAAAAGTGGTTTGCTGAACAAGCAGATTATTCTGTAGGTAGTGACATGGATGTGCTGCAAGTTTGTGATGGGCTGAAGCCTCACTGCGTTCACAGATGTGTGACGAAGGTTATAAGGGTGAGAAGACACGGCTAGAGGTTGTTTCACAGCAGCGTTCAGATTCTGGCCATCTAGAGCAGAATGCTATCGTCATTGTCACCGATGATCAGACCGTCCGCAGATTATCATTCAAAGCACAGAGCCAGGCCACTGGCGTTATGCACCCTGAACCATACAGGCCCATCTGCTTTCAGGAATGCTACTGTGAGACTGTGTCTAATGTCATGCCCATTGACACAGTCTCCAGGTGGCAGGCTGCATGGTGATGCAATTTATTCATTGAAAAGGTTGCAGTAGCCAGACACCTTGCAGCTGGCAGAAAGCCAAAGTGTGTGCATATTGCAGTGTACCAAGAGGATTTGTGCGTGAGAGAAACAAACTGGGTTATCCGTGGAGTACTAATGCTCTCTTTGCTTATGGGGGTGCATGAGGTTTGGAGGTTTTGTGTCCAGAAAGTTTGTGCTGATTCCTCAATCTTTGTTTGTCATCTTTTTCCTCCACAGCTCATCCCAAATCCCTGATGTCTCAGTCTAGGCTGGCTGTCAGGAAGCTTCTGAAACGTGCCAGGAGAGCCCGAGCCATAGATCAGCTGGAGATTCCCCCTGTGCTAGTGAACTACCTCAAGCACCGATAGTAAGAGGGGATCAGAGTAATACCTTGGAAGAGTTACAAAGCTTAAGACCAAAGCCTTGCATAATGTGTTGACCACCTGGCTAAGAAGGTGTTACCGAATAGCAATTATATGTGTATTGCTGTCATCTGTTGCTCATCTGTACTGTCTGCATTTGCTTGTGTTAGACCTCTGAAAGGCATGTTTGCCATTTTGAACACAAACCACATAACAGGTATCGAGGACAGAAGCTGAAGGAAAAAGAACGAGCTCCCTCAGTGTGCTGAAAGGCCCAGAGCGTGGTGTTAGCAAAGAATCGGGTTTATTACTTTAGATCATCTTGGTTTTCTACCCTCATATTTTAGTACTTTGACCTCTTCACATTAGTGACTTGTAAGTGGAGACAGAGTCCATAGGGCTGTGGCAGAACAAAGCAAAATCTGAAGGAGAAAAAAAAAGAAAAGAAAAAGGCTGGTTTTCCCTCCTGCCTTTAACCAGGAAAGGAAAGATGGTACAATAGGGTAAAGAGTACAGTAGTTGATCTTTCCTCTGGAGTGTGACCTTAGATGAATGTAATTATTTAATGGTCTTATTTTACTTTAAAAAATCAATTTCCTGGGAAGTTGTACCATTGCTTATCATGCTCTCTCAGCTGGAATAAGAAGCTGCCATCAGACTTGTGATTTACATGAGGCGCGTGAATTTGGGAACTGATAAAAGTTGTCAGACTGGAGCCCTCCATGTTAGCTACAAGCAGTAAATGGGTAAGGTGGTTGGAGAAGAGTAGCATGCACCTCTTGCCCTTCTTCACAAAGCATAAATTATTTCTTAGCAAGTCCCAGTAGAAGAAGGCCTATCAGTCTCCACAGCCTATTCTCTGTGGCCCCTGCTAGGACTGAGAGGGAGAAGGACAACAGTACCTGATGCTACCCACTAGTAGCTGGCCTGAGACCATCTGCTCATTTTTTGGAAGATCCTTCAGGCAGTGACCATATTGTCTCCACTATTTTGTACAGCACCAAGGAAGTGATGGATACAGGGGTACCCATCTACATAGCAGCCATTCAATGGTAACAGCTTCCAGCCAAGGGCTGCATCTGAAATGGTGACTCGAACAAAAATCTGCATATTTTATAATAGATCTCTTGAGCCTTTCTGTCCCTATATGTTTAAAAGCTAAAACATACTGGTTTATACCCATTTGGTATAAACAAATGGGTTCAGGTGGATTGAAGGGGACAGGAGCTTCTCCTAATCTGTTGCATGCTTGATTTTACAATTTAAAAAAGGCATGTTCTAGTCCTAATTAAACAGTTCTGGCTTGTTTAATAACTACTGTTTAATTGTTAACTGGAGAGATTTGCTGCCTTCTGGTGTCATATGGAAGTATGAATTTGGCAAATATCAACGGAAACTTGACTCTGCCTGTTAGCTGTTTCTTAACTGTTCATATTTTGGCTCATAAATATGTAAACAAGCATGACGTGCTTTATTCTATAGAGCAGGACTGACAACAGTCCATCTGATGGTAAGCAAAAAACATCCCAGCCTGGGATTCCTCCTACCCCATTTCTAACTGACATTGGTTGAGTACAATACTTGACTTGGATCTTTAAACTGAGTTAGTTAAAACTTTAACAAGGCCTTAGATGCAGTTTGTTCCCTGATCAAACTTCTCTGCAAGCTGTATCAGTTCTGATCAAATTTTAATGGATGAGTAATAAGCTGCTGGAAAAGAGATTTATGAATAACATCCCTGATCCATCCTCCTCAGAGGTGCCAACACACCTAGTGCACCACCCTAGTGCACCATGACTCAGAGGAACATTTAGAGTATGTGGGGCTGGAAAAGCATGCAGAGGATATGTTGACTCCATACCGCACCAGGACCCCAAATGAGCCTTTTCTGAGGTTAGAAGCAATTCTGTTAGCTTCTGCTGCTTCTGGTCTTCCAGGTTCTAGCGAAGGTGCTGGATCATTGGTGGGGCCAGTTCCGTGGCATTTCTGGCTTGAATGGAAGCAAAGCACTGAAAACCTCTTGAGGAATCCTTTAATAAGACAAAACTTGCTACAAATTCCAGCAGCTTAGGTGGTATCTGATACTAACCCTAGATCCTTGGCTACCCAGACCTTCAGAGATACATATCAAATCTTAAAAATGGAGTTAGCCCCAAAACATCACCATAGATGGAAACATCCCTGTTTGGGGGCAAGGTTGGATCTACATCCAAGTTTGAGTCTCAGGCCCAACTCAGCAGAACAGTGCAGGCAAAGCCCTTGGGTCATAAAACCTATAAACTGCTTGTTCACAAACAGGTTCTGTGTGATGTGTGTAAATTGTATCCGTCTCTTTTAAGTAACAGACTTTTATCGCCCTGCTAGACAAAGTCTTGGCTGGCATGATATAGTTGGGGTTGGTCCTGCTTTGAGAAGAGGGTTGGACTAGATGACCTCCTGACGTCCTTTCCAACCCTAATTTTCTGTGATTCTATGATTCAAGCCAAGAGCCAAATGAAAGAGGGATCAAAACTACTGCTGACTCCTGCCACAGATGATCAGCTGTGTTGTTATCGGGAGTCATCCCAGGCCAGATACTATTACAAGTTCTGTTCATCTGAACATATATTGCCATTAAATCATGGGTGGGAATGCTTACAGTCACTGGTGATGTAACTGTTCTTAAATGCTGATCATCATTAGTAAACCTTTAATGTTGTATGTGCTCGAGCACGTCGGTTGGGGCCGCGTTGTGCTAGGAGGGTTTATAGACAAGACTCAGTTGCAATCTTTACCCCAATGAAGTTGTGTGTCTAAACAACCATTCCTTGTAGGTGGAAGAGAAACAAATGGGTTGGGGGAGCAAAGGGTGAGTGAAGGGAGTGGGGATGAAAATGGGAAACAAAAATACACGGCACATTTGGTCACAGAGTGGCTTCATGTAAATTGCTATGCCCATCAGTAAATATAGTCCCAGCTCACAACAGTCAGGTCTGTTCTCTCTGTCCTTGTCAGCAGACAAGAAACTTGGCTTGTTAATCTGGAGTGCCTGGCACACCTGCATGCACACGGTGAAACCCTCCCTGGAAGGTGCATGTGTATCAGTGACTATGGATTTGCCTGGCTTTCTGATTAACACTTCTTTCCTGTAGCAGCACATCCAGCTCCCTAATTTAACCCAGCCAAGCAAAAGAAGGACACAGTGCTCAGATATCAGTCATGGTTTTACACAGGCCCCAAAGTGTGCTGGATACCTCCCCAGATAGCTGACAAAACTCCTGCCACAAGGTGCTTGCAAACTAATTGTAATGTGACACAAGGCAGGGTCTTGAAACACTAGGCAGCCAGCTGGGGGCAGGGGGCAGGTGGGTGACAGCAGGGGGACATGAGCAGAGAATATTAGTAAGGTACCAAGGTTAGTCATGGAGGCACACAGCATGATGGAAGAAAGAATTGGGGGTTAAAGAGATGCATAAAATTAACTTGTAGAAAATTATCTGCCAAGTTTATTGAGCAACAACTCAAAGTCCTTGTCTTGGGCTGAGACTGCACCCTGCTTAGTACTGTACAAACGCACAACAAAAAGAACGGTCTCTCCATTGAACATCTCCCATGGTAAGTGTGGCCGTAAGTCTAACTAGTAGGTTAGTGGTGGGAAACATCAAAAAAAGAAGTGGTTCTACAGGGGAGTCTTTAAAGGTATGATGCTGTTGTCCACTACGTGCCTTATTTCAGGCTTCTACTCTGCAATGCCTCCTGCCAGATGGTGAGGGTCTGTCAGCCCCGACCTGATGCATGATCAGTGTTGTGGCATGTTGTGCTGGGGTGATTTCCTCCCTGCCTTGTAAGGTAAATAAGTGGGGAGATGCCTGATTGGTTCCTCCTGTGGGGAAGATGAATGGTTGCATTTGAGAAGTGTCAAATAGGTAAAAGCTCAGAGTTGGGATTCAATGCAGATGCCCATTACACTCTTATTAACAGATGTTGTAAACAGCAGGGAGTTGATGTGCACTTGATTTTGTACTGCTGCGTTCCAATATGTATAGGGAAACAGTACTCAACTCGTGAGAGCCATATACTGTATGTGGCATGTATGTCATGCACAGCACAGCAAGGCACTGCGGAGAGAATGAGTTTAGAAGATGCTGTTCTTTGTTTTAATAAGACTATTTTTAACAGGCACCAGGAATGAAGGATCCCCCTAGTTGGATCCTTAGGTGGGTACTCACCTTGGATGCATAACCACACAGGGTCACTGTTGCTCCATTCACTTCTAGATGCTCCCAAAGTCCTCTGGCAGTTAAATTCCTAATTGTTAAGGCCCTTCCTCCTCCTCTCTTCTATTTTTTGGATCTCAGGACCATATCCCTTGCATAGTTCCTGATATAGTCTATACTTGTATCCTAACCCTCCAATGTCAATTAGGCACAGGGAAAATAGAGACAACAGAAAGCTCTCAGGGAACATGTCCATGCACACACGTCACCATGGCAACTGCTGGAGTGGTTTATGATGCTGTCGGAGCCTCGGGGAGTACCGATTCCCTGAGCTGTGTTTTCTTCACTTGCTCCTAGTCTTTGCTGAACCCGTGTGCCAGATATCCCCGTGGCCTGGGTGGCAGTCAGATTACATTTGTTTGCAAAACACAGACAAGCACACAAGAAAGTTCTGCATTATTTATAGGCTTTATAATCTAATTGTTATTTCAGAGGTTATAGAATCTATTAATCAAAATCTATTAAGATAGGGAAGAGTTTCCTTGGGGAAGCATTAAGCTCCACGGCTCCTGGCATATTTAAAATTAGACTGGACAAAACACTAGAAAATACTCTGTCGGGAGCCATTGTGCTTTGGCTGGGAAACAGGCTGGATGATCTAAGAGGTCTTGCTCATCTGTGTATGATCTGAAATGGCCTATTGTTGAGTGCTAGGGTTAATGACATGAGAAATAACTCATCCCCCAGTCATTTTGGACACTCTAGTCCTAGCCTTAAACACTGTACCATTTGCCTTATGTTTCCTTCATATATTATAAACAATCCCAGTAGCAGCATCACTTGGGAGGCACTAAACTAGCTGAGTGGATATTTTTTCCCTTATTAATACCTACAGCTGCCAGGGGAGAAACTCAGCAGAAGGGTCTTTCAAAATACTGTTAAGGCCAAACCAACTCCTATTAAAACATGTTTCCCGAGGGCCTGAACGTGGCAAGTATATTATCACACAGTACTTACAAACTTCTTAGATGCTCACTTTTCTATTAGGCTGCATGATGTGTATTGGTGGTGTTTAGGGCAATAATGCTACCTATAGTGTATATTTAACTATCTCAGTCTGAGTGAACATGCTCGTTGGCAGGGGTTTCTAAGTCTGTGATTCTTTCATACCTGCAAGCTTTATAGTACATAAACATCAAGGATGGCTGCATCATCCTCTTTGTTTTGGTAGATCAGGATGTCTTTCCTCAACCATGTAGAGCAGTAGTGGGCAAAATACAGCTCATGGACCAGATCTGGCCCACCAAGGGATTTTGTTCTGCCTGTGGTATGTCCCTTGATCCCATCCAGCCCAGGTACAGGGGGCAGCCAGTCCCGCCGCCGCAGGTACAAAGCAGGGCTGGGGCGGCGGAGCAGCTGGACTCGCTTCCCAGCAGCCCTGCCAGCGGTGACTCTTTCTAGCTACCAGCCCCACTGCCTAGGCACCCCAGTGAGTCCACCCCGCACCCACTGCCAAGACTTGGACCCATGTGGGCAGGGCATGTGGTTGGGTGGATGGGATGGGGCCGTGGGCAGGCTGACAGCTTTGTTTGGGAGCAGGATGTGTGGGCAAGGCCAGATCATGGTTCAGGATCGTGGGGTGGTGACAATGTAGGACCAAGGATGGGGCAGAGCTGCAATCTGCTCCCCACATGCCCCTGTGACAGGTGCGGGTTCTGTGGGCAGGGGCATGCAGGGAACGTCGTGGCTCTGCCCTGGCCATGGCCCCACGTTGTCACCACCCCAAGATCTCAGCCCAAGCCCCGGATGCAGCTCCCCACCCATCTGTAGCCCCATCCAATCTGTCTGGATGTGCACGCTGCCTGCGGGGGTCCCAGCTGTCTCCATGGAGAACCCAGGATCATGGGGCGGTGACAGCATGGAGCTGCCTCTGCTCGCAGAACCAGTGCCTGTTGCAGGGGGTTGTAGGAAATGGATCATGGCTCTGCTCTATTTGGCCAGGATGGAGCCATGGGCAGGTGGCGAGCAGCATCCTGGAGTGGGGTGGGCAGGCAAGGCCAGGCCTGGGATCGTGGGGCAGTGACAGCATCTGCCCATCCTACTCCCAGATGTCATTCCCTGCCCTTTCTAGGATTCATAAAAGGGCTAGCTTTTTGTCTCATGAAAAAACCCCAACAATAACATTATTTTTTTTGCATCAGAAAAGGACATTAAATTTAGTTACAAATACTGGCTAATAACAGCACTATGACAGAGGAGACCAGGCAGTCTAATGCACAGAGCTTGGACATGGGAGACTCGGATTCTGTTCCCAGTTCTGACACTGACCTGCTCAGTGACGTGGCGCAAATCACTTAATCTTCCTGTGCTTGTTTTCCTGCCTTGAAAAACAGAAATAGTGACACTGACCTCCTCTGTCAAGTACTTGTTGAGATCTCGTAATGCAAAGAGCCATAAAAGAGGTAGGTGGTGGTGGTGGGTTGATGTTGTTGCTGTTATTATATAACTGTATGACATAATTTAAATGCATACCACCATGATGGGCTTATTAGCAATTCATATGGAGAAGAGTTAGCATTCCATTTCTGTTAATATAGGAAACTAGTTTGACAAGTGTGGCATTATGCTACTGTTTTCCCTGTGGGTATATGAAGTAATATTAGTTTAAGGAAAGGGGGGAAAAATAAACACACAGATATTTTCAACTTTTTAAAAAATGAAGTAGGAAGATTAAACACTAAATGTGATCCTGCTCCTTGAAGTAGCAACTTTGCACATTTGAAAGTAAGGAAATGATTGGATAACACATGCTGCACATTTAAAACCTGCTTTTACCCCCAGTGCATCCATAAAACACCCACTGTTTTGCCCTCACATAAGTGTGAACAGCAGTGGGTGAATTCAATGTCCATCAATCACTTAAGTGTACAAGGAAACCATCACTGCAACTCCAACACCCATCGGGTCCTCAGCCTCTCTTCTGAGACTGCTAACAAGAGTGCCATTATCCCAATGGCTGATTATGGTGGCTTTTCTGATGTGGTCACATCAGAAAAGGAACAGGACTATGGCTATCCTCTCATTATACACAGGCCACCGAACAGCCATCAGAAGATAATGATTTTCATTCCCTGCTGACCTGGGATAGATTTGAACTGACAACCTGAAGGGGAAAGTAATTTGTTAATACTTGAATGGATGAAAATTTTCATTTTCATAGTAATCAAACCAAACAAGTACCAGCTGGTGGCTCTAATAACAGCTGCACATGTATATTAATTAATGTAAGTTTCATGATAAGAAGCAGCTCTCACTATTGTGTCTAGCTCCAAACTGCATGGGATCTGTAGCAGTCGGATCTCTGGAAAAACAATTAATTGTTCAGATGGATATAAGTGAGGACTATTTTATGTGACTGTCCAGTTAGGAAGGACTGCTCCATGGTGAGGAAGCTTTATCATGCTGTCTCCAATCATACCAACTGTGGAGGCTAAGCCTACATCAAATCTGACAAGAGGATCTGAGTAGGAATATGTCAACCATTTTGGATAAAATAGGAATTGACTCAAAAAACTACACCAAACCCAGGAAGCTGAGTGTTTAGTTTCCAGCTGCATCTGCAAAGCTTCTGTCCAGCACAGGGGCTGAGCTACCATGCAGGAAGCTATTTTGCTTTTTCTGATATAACAGGCAGTGGCAGACATCTCATAAAGAGCTTATTTCTAAGAAATTTCCAGTCTGAATGTAATGTTCTTAGAAGTTCAGATGAGACCTGGAGAATCCTTTGCAAACTCTCTGAGATTTGTCTGTCGCTGTAACAGTGGACAATCTCCCATGTTCAGACACTAGATGGATGCTTTTCAGGTACCAATAATGTCTTCTTCCTTCTTGTATCTCCTATTTGAGGATCTTGGTGCATTTCACAGATGTTTTAAGCCTGATGTGCTGTGTTTGGATGTGAGTGTATCTGAGGCCTGCAAAGGCAGCATGCCCTATCCTGGTTAAAGACATCTTCCTACTTCCTCATAACTTGGCCCTTCCTGCTCATACATGGCAAAGGGTATCTCTGGGATTCTCTTCCTGTAGACTTACGCTGAGTTGTTTTAATATTTCACTTCCTGTCCTCACGTGCAAATTTCTGATTCATGCTATTTATCTCTGCTTAGCTTGACAGCTCATCCATGGAGTTTCACCAGCTTTCAGGCACCATCTGTCCAGGCACTGAGTCATCTGCCCATTTACAGCCAACATAACATCCCCCAGTCTTTCCCATGCTGCCCCTTGCCTCTATACACTTGTGATTACTCCTTCGGAAATTAGAATGATTAGGCAGGTTTACAACAGATGAGAGTAATGACTTAAGGTTACCATGGAAATGATAATGCTTTATGATTTGGAAGAAAAATTTAGTAAAAAAGCCAAGGGCAAAATACCTTTTAGTAACACCTGCTATCCATGATGCATAGTTGTCCTTAATGTGTTATCTTGGTGTGTTTTTTTCTTTTTAAGGGCACTCGGTCAAAATGATTTATTGTAAACAATCATTTATTTTCCTATATTACTGATAACACAATCAAAAGGGAATTGTAGGTCTTCAGTTGACACCCTTTATAATTCATGCTGTCACTCAACTTTCTATCTCAGCTTTGACAGGAAACATCAGTGAAATTGGTTTTATTCTGAGGGAGCCAATATTTGGAAGTGATTAGCAGGGTGAGGGGTGGGGGGGAGTTGTTTAAAACCATACTTTTTATTGGATTAAAAACCATCAGATAAACATTTCCTTTTTGTTTTTGTTTTTGTAGGAAACCTACCAGAATCAGGTTGAAGGTGACAGACAGTGTCCCATGGACAACCTGCACAACCATTTTCTTTTCATGGAAAAACATGATAGAGCTTTTCTCTTAGTAGTGAAGGACAAAAAACTCTAAGGACACAGATGGTGCATTTTACAAGTGTGCTAAGTGACACTGGGTGAGTTGAGCCTGGAACAATAAAGCAGGGCTGTATTCTTCGATGGATTTGTGCATGTTGTTCTTGGATGGCAAAAAGTTAATAATACATTTTATTTAGAAAGAACCGTCTGGTTGTGCCACTTGGAAGGGCACTGAGAGCACAGTACACTGACATGTAACAAATGATAAAGGCATTATAAAATACAATACCAATGAGAAGTCAGCAACTTGACAAATGTGGCCCCGCTGGAGCACAGTAGCATATGTGCTATGCATGAAATTAAACCTGTTAACAACCACCCACCAAAATGGGCTGTAGACAGGCTTTGATTCCATCAGGTTTCTGAGCTGCTACCCAACTAAAACCACTAGGTGTCCTTCCAAAGCTAATCCAGAGTGATTTTCTCATGCCCTTTGATGCTGATGACTTAGTGGTTTGTGCTTCTGTGAAGTAATTTGGAACAAACCACACTATGATTAAAAAGTGAAGGTCTTGGAGGCATAAAACATAATTGTGCAACTGGAGGAGGAGGAGGGAAAGAAAATTCAATCGGGCAGAATTAAGCGCAGAGCTGCTTAAAGATTAGTAAGTGGGAACTTGAGGTGTACTTCAGTTTCAGCAAGGAAAGAGTAAGTTATAAACAGTCAACTTATCAAACATAATAGAAATCATGATTATAAAGCAAATTGTGGTCTTAAAACAGTAATAGGTGGGGGAAGGTAAAATAGGGTGGGTTAATGGAAAATGGTATGATTTAAAACTGTTTATTCACCTCTTTCTCAGTTCTGAGTCATAGCTCCTACCTTTAATGAGAGTGTAACAGTGCAATCTGTCCAGTTAATGTGACTGCTTATGCAAAGCAAACCCTCTTACAATGAACATTTATCCCTTATAGCCTAAGAAACAGCTTGTGTTTTTTCCAGTTTGATTAGGAGGTTCTGAGTAGAATTTTCCCTATTATTTTTGTATTATTGCTGATTTAGTTGCATCTTAGATGTAACTTGAAAACAATGTCTTTGAAGTGTTTATAGAGTGCTTCCACCACGGTGTCTGAGCATCTCACAAGGTCTGGTCTTTCCTGCTAAAAGTGAAAAAAGTGTACTTTTTTTCTGCCAATGGGTACTAATCAAAGTACATAGTTGTCCTGGTCTGAAAATGCAGGGAAGACCAGGTTGCTGCATGAATTAAACTACATGTGGTCAGAACTCTGTAAATACCCTCTTTTGAAGTAATGAAGATGATGTTCTGGTAAAGGGAAGTACAAAACCCCCCTCATTTTATATTCCAGTAGATGGACAACTGAGGCACAGTGAGTCACTGCATCTGTGGAGCTCCTGGGGTCTGTCTACCTGCTTCTGCCAAACCAAAAATGTGGTAGTGAAGCTGTTCCAGATGCACCCCTACAGTGTCCTTGAGCACACTGGAGGCAGATATCTCAAAAAGGGTGCCTTGGAAGGGCTTTATTACTTCATTTCAGGTTTGGCATGTGAAAGCAGAAGTGGATGTGTGGAGCGGGATGTATGCTTAAGACTGACCTTTCCCAGAAGAGCTGGGCACACAGTGCAAAAAGACCCAGAAAAATCCAGTGTATAGCTCAAAATTTTTCACAAGGTCTGTGTCAAAGCAGAGATCTGAGTCTAGGTCCCTGAACTTGCAGCTGGGGCCCTAACTACTGGTCTGTCTTTTTTTTCCAAACAGTAACTATTAACGATGGGTGATGTACCCTTTTTCCATCCCCAAACGACTTTCAGGTCCCATAGAAAATGTATTGGTGAAAATTATTTAGTTCAGAAATAATCATGAAACAGAAGTTGTGAAGTCCATTTTCATTGACTAAAGCAGTTTATACAGAATTTTAATTTTCCTTCAGAAATAATTTTCCATATTTGGGTTTTTGTCTCATGTTATATCATATTTGGGTCTTGACTGCTTAAGTGGATCATAGCAACTGTCAGGAGATGGGCCATTCCTAGCCTTGAGGTATAGGTTTCGGTCCTCTGCAAGCATAAATAGGAGTTGATTTTATGAATTTTCTAAGGTGGGTGCAAGAGCTATACAACACAGGTGGTAGCCATTCATAATTCCTGCTATTGTACCTTAGCCATGAGCTGGAGACCAATTCTAGGGGAATTTAGCATCTACAGAGCAATCAATATTTGACCTCTCTACTGAGACTAATGACAAGGATAATGCCAATTTTAACATGTCACTTGTCCACAAGTAAATGCTTGCAAGTTTCTGAACAACCAGATGACTACAGCTGCTCAATATTCAAAGCTCATGAGTCAGTAGACTGTCCTGCCCCCCTTCCCTACCTCCACCCCAAACCCCACCTTCAAAAAATGATGTCCGCTTTCTGGTCTTCAGTTATTAGGATTTGTAGTTTTTAAATGTTCCACAGTGGCTAGAAATAAACCTTTAAAAAAAGAGGTTAAAGCTGTGATACTCATACAATCACTTGATTTCAGGAGCTGTAAGAAAGACACCAGGTAGTATAGGAACTGTAATAAAATAAGAGCTGGCAACACTGTGGCTCCCTGAAGTACCCCTACAGGGTGCAGCTCACTATGTAAAAAAATCTAGTATTGTACTGATGCAAGAAAGCCACACAGAGGACTTTTCAACAGCAGAGATGATGTAAAATATGACGTGTCTGATATTAGAATCTGGTCTTTCACTGGCTGTGGAACAAGCGGGTTGAGATTCAGGCGCACCACAGGAACAACTGCGTTCTGCTTTCCTGCCAGCTTGACCTGGCGTGTTTGACTATGGAAACATGTTTTGAATTTTCTTTTCCAAATGAGGTAGAGATCAGTACTCTGAAAGCCTAAGACACTTTTTCTTGTGATTACAAGATTCTCATTTAGAAGCAGGAAGTACACCAAGCAGAAAGGGCTGAGGTTTGTTGTTTACCAAAGAAGTTATGTAGTTCATACTTCAGCGTCCTAAGCAGGATTGCTGCTTGCATTTCTTGGTACTTTGCTTTAAACATCCCAAAGGATGAGGCTGGTACTATGCCCCTAATGAGACTATTCCACATTGAAACCTCATCTCATAGATCATCAACTGAAGACATTCTCCCATTGTAGTGTTGTAGCTAACAGGCCTAAAGTGATCCTGGGATATATAAGTATGGAAGTAGAGAAAATCATAATTATTTCTGTATATGGCATTAATTAAATGACTGTTGGAACACTGTGTCTAGCCTTAGTGTTTACACTTCCAAAAAAAGATATTGAAAAAATGGAAAGGGTTCTAAAATGAGTTACAAGAACAATGCAAAATCTGGAAAACCTGCCTGACAGTGGGTGCATCTACACAAGACACTTAATGTGCATTAGACTAATCCAACTGCGCATTAGCATGGCTAGCAAAAATTATGCTAATGCTCAGTAGACTTAGTTTAATGCACATAAACGTCACAAATAAGTGTTCATTTGTCCTACTGCGCAGTAGTGCCAATTACAGTGCATTAAGTTTAGTATCTGTTATTACAGCTACTAAACTGAATGTGTCATAATTATGGCACATTAATGAACATGTAGACATGCCCGGTGAGATCAGAAAGCAGCTTGCTTTATTTAGTTTATCCAAGAGAAAGTTAAGAGGTGACTTGATCATACAGGTACCTATGTGGGGAAGAGATTTCTGACAGCAAACAGCTCTTTAATCTAGCAGACACCCTAACAAGCTCCAATAGTTAGAGCTGAAACGAGACAAATTCAGACTAACAATAAGGTGCAATTTCTTCACCATGAGGGTGATTAAGCACTGCGACAACTTATTTAGAAATGTGGATTCTCCATCACTTGAAGCCTTAGTTCAAGATGAGATCAGTCAGAAAGTACCAGAAATGCACTATGGCCTGTGTTACATAGGATGTCAAACTAGAGGACCAGAATGTTATCTGTTGACCTAAGATCTCTCAAATGTATTAAACTGAAGACACAAAAACTGTCAAGACCAAATGTCCAAGCCCGTACTACTTATAACTAGTCTTCTTTGGCAATCCCTCGCAGTTGAGGATGAATGTCTTCCATAGTTGTCTTATCTGTGTGCCCAAAGATGGCTGATGAGGCCTGTCTGGGATTTACAGACTCTACTGCAGCTCGGACATGTGTTTCTGTGTAGGGTGAATAGGGCTGGATCCTTGATTTGGTCTGTGACACGCTGTTTCTACCACTCCCACTTTTCCATCTCCTGTTGTTGTTGTTGTGAGGTTTCAAAGTACTGAGATCCCTGCAGCAGACTCTTCCTCCATTTGCGGTGGTCCTGGGCGATATTCTCCCACAAGCTGACATCAATGTTGCATGTTTTTAGTTGGCCTTTGAGGATGTCCCTGAAGCGCTTTCTCTGCCCTCCTCTTAAGCTTACGCCTTGGCTACTACAGACCTCCCACCCAAAGTCCTGAGCTTGACCAGGAGTTTGCCCGGGAACTGGCTGAGGCCGCATGCTCCAGGACCATGGTTGTCATGGGTGACTTCACTTACCCAGACATCTTGTGGGAGCATCACTCAGCAAAATCCGAGCGGTCACAAAGCTTCCTCTTGTGCGTGGATGACCTCTACCTGATTCAAGAAGTCTATGGGCCAATGAGAGGCAAAGCACTGCTCGACCTGGTACTGGCTACTGGGGATGACCTAATTGGCGACCTAGTGATCGATTGGAAGCTGGGTGACAGCGACCACAAGCTCATCACCTTCACCATCCGCCGTAAAGCTGGCAAGTCAGTCAGCCACACTGAAGTCCTTGACTTCAGGAAAGCTGACTTTGACAAGCTCAGGAGGCTTGTCAGTGAGGCCCGAAGGAACCACGACCCCAGGAAGAAGGGAGTTCAAGAAGAGTGGTTGCTCCCCAAGGGAGTGATCCTCAATGCACAAGCTAATTCTAGTCCATCTTGGAGGAAAGGCAGCAAGAGGGC